AATTTCCCTGTCATGCGCATATCTTTCTTTTTCGTGGCTGTATCCTGATTAGACATCATCTTGTCCGTAATATGCATATAGACTTTTCCATTCAGCATTAACGTAAAAAATAAAAAGCCGTCGTACCATCTGAAATCGTTATACATATATAATTGTCTTGGTATTATAATCAATTTTATAATAAGTGTTTTCTCTCCGATAACATAAACAAAATTAATTTTAGGAAATCTAAATTATTTTATCTTTTTCTGAAAGTAGAATAAAAAACAAAACTAAAAATCAAGTCCTTTTCAAATAATAGACAATTTGAATTAATTATACAATTGATGTTTATAAGAACAATTTTATATTACTATTAAAAGGAATGTTTAGAGCACTGATTACACTGACATTTCCTGGTTAACGCTTATTATGGCATGTTGTATTTTCCAAATTTTACTTCCAAAACATAGAAAATACCTTCCAGCCTGTGACACCCCGTATACGCTAACGAACCTGCATCGTTTTTAGAATGCATTGTGATCTTTAGGATGTCAAGCTTAACGTGTGCAAACTTCATATGACCAATGAACCTTAATAGTATCAATTGCTTCGCATAACTCACAAGCCCCTGCAATATTTTTTAAACATATTATGAGAAAATGGAAATACTTTTAATGCTAAAAACTATTAATTGCTTTGAATACTTAATAAAATTAATTTTTGTTACTCCTCTAATATTGCTGATAAAAATTATATTATAATAATCCCAGGGAGAAACGCGAGATCGGATAGATATCTAGCAGACGTTTATCAGACGCATCTAACATAGATCGATAGACGGCATCTAGATAGACGTCTAAGTGGCCTTTTTTTTTAGACGCATCTAATAGCCGTCTAATAGACGTTTTGCATATTATAGACGTATAATAGACTTACCTTTATAGTAAAAGGACTAATTTACTTATTACTAAATAATAATACGTACTCATTTATACAGGATAAGGAATTTGAAGTATGGCACAGTATTTTTCAAAATATTTAATTTCTGGGAAAAATGTTACAAGTAAAAATTGTAAAATTTAACATTATTGTAATTGAATGAATTTGATTATAATAATAATTAGCAACTTATTGTATTTGTCGAGAAAAATTATTTTATATATGTAATTTTCTGTAAACAAAATAACATAAATATGACGATAACGCTCTTAATGTTTGAAAAAATATTGTAAAATAATTTTAATGTGGCTTAGAAAGAATATTATGGGACTTTTGTATGTAGATAACTGATATTGTAATATTTCAAATGTTGATAATATATTACACAGTATAATATTATGTGTGTAAAACCCACAGTATATATAGATAGGGACAAAGTAGAAGTTTAGCGAAGACTAGTTAGTTTTCAAGTCAACTTTACTAATCATATACAAGACGTTTGAGGCGTCGTGTATTTTCTTTCTTCTATGACAAAACTCAGAATGTAAATAGATATAAATATTCAAAAATTAATTTTTTTTTTAATTTTGAATTGAATATATCATGGCAATCTAAAATGTTGTCAAGAGGATACTGTTTATTTAAATTAAAAAAAATAAAATTTTCTTACATATAAAAACTTGAAAAATATTGACAAAAAATTGTTTGCTTCTAATTTGAAAACTTTGTTGCTTTGTTGTTTCGAAATTGGAATAAACAGAATAAATATAAAAATATTTTTTTTAGTATCCGTTCTTAGTAACCACACATAAGAAATTGACAGAAAGTACACGATTCCTGGAGCTACTTATATGTTAATATATTTTTATATATCAAGAAAAATCCTCTCTTGCACATAGGGTTTAAGCAGTAATACTAATGTGGTTTAATTCTTAATTCCTTTGGCATTTTGCAGCCATGATCTTCAATTCTTCACTCAGATCACTTTCTTCAAATTTTAACAGCAGTGTACCTAAAAAAATAAACGTATTGTTCGAAAGCGGACCGCGCGCGCGAGCGAGGACACGAACCGCGGATAGGAAAAGACAGTCAAAGAGCAGAGTTAACGGACAATCACAGTTTATTCGTCTATTTACACTATTTACAAAAGCTGAATCGCAATTATATCGAAGGAAGAGATCGTGTCGCGAAAGCGCAAGCAAGCGCCGATGCAGGCAGAGCGAAAGTTAAGCGAGCGAAAGAGCGAGCGACTCTAAGTACTAAGCGCACGCGGAAGAAAAGGAGCAAGCAACTCGAATTATTGACAGCGGCAACTCGGAGAGCAGAGAGCGACTGGCTCCGTTGCCAAGGGCGCGTGTCCCTTTAAGCTCTCGGGGGCTTCTCGCAAATTCGAGACCTTTCGATACACGCCTCACCGAGAGAAGTCCCCGAGAGATGCGCGATCGACAATTATAAACAGAAAACAGAGAAAACAAAGCGAACAAAGAATGCCTTGTCTCCACTGTTTACTCATTTGGTCGTCACGTCGAAAGTCACGGCGATAATGCTCAAGTCTCGGTGGTCGCAATTGCCGTGCTGAAACGCTAATTTATATTTTCGACTTTGCTATCGTTAGAACCGTTTAAGCAATCTTAAACATACCGCCCGCCTCGTCAGAGGGACTGACGACATAATCGCGGTACGATAATTAGCGTAGCGTACGATAATTAGGTATTTATCGATGACACGCGGATCTGCCGACGGGATCTTTGCCTCTCGATCGCGCGAGCGAATTTTTACGTCGCGCAGCGTCGTAACGCACAGATACTGGGATCCCCTTCCGGCGGATCTATTGAGCAACATGAATACGTGAATTAAAGTCCGGTTGTACAAGAACGCGTCCGTAAGCAGAGCTACTTTAAAACCGCGAATTTTAGGCGTAACGTTTTACCTTGCTCCCGGGAATTTAATTTTTCACAATGCTTTAATTTATATCGGCGTCGGTAGTCGGTAGAATTACAATTTTTACAATGGGCCGGGTAAACTCAGCCGCCGCGGTGCGAACGGTGACCACGCGAACGCGTCCGTCCTCTCCCGGATGGACTCGGATGACGCGGGCCAGCGGCCATCTCGTTGGCGGGGTGGTTTCGTTCCGAATGAGGCAGAGGCTGCCGACCTGGAGGTCAGGCTTCTGGACAAGCCATTTGGGACGATGACTCAGGGCGTGGAGATACTCTCGAGCCCACCGCTCCCAAAAGTGATCCCGCATCTTCTGCAACAACTGCCAGCGGGATAGTCGATTGTCGGGCGCGTCCAGCAGCGACGGCTCGGGCACCGCCGTCAACGCGGACTCCACTAGGAAGTGCCCTGGCGTCAGCGCAGCCAAGTCGTCCGGGTCATCTGAAAGAGCCTGTAACGGACGTGAGTTTAGGCACGCTTCTACCTGGGCGAGGAGAGTGCTCATCTCCTCGTAAGTTAAGGTGGCTTCGCCCAGCGCCCTCCGAAGGTGGTGCTTCAGGGATTTGACGGCTGCCTCCCATATGCCCCCGAAGTGGGGCGCGGCTGGAGGGTTGAACCGCCATTTAATCCCGTCACAGGCGAGCTGGCTGGCGATCTGTCATCCTTCCGGATGGCTCGCCGCGAAGAGAGCGCGTAGCTGCGCGTCGGCCCCGACGAAGTTGGTCCCGCAATCGCTGTGAAGGCTGAGGCACAGCCCGCGGCGGGAAGTGAATCGGCGAAGCGCCGCCAAAAAGGCCGCCGCGGTGTAATCCGAAACGACTTCCAAATGAACTGCTCGCGTGGCGAGGCAGACGAAAACCGAGATGAACGCCTTGTGGGAGCGCTGGCCTCGGCCCTTGGTTGTTCTCAACATAATGGGCCCGGCGTAGTCAACGCCTGTGTGTAGGAATGCCCGTGAAGGTCTCACTCTCTCGCGTGGTAGATCGCCCATCAGTTGCTGCGGGGTTGCCGCCCGCCAACGCGCACACGTCATGCAGCGGAGAATCAGTCGCTTCACTAGAGCGCGGCCTTGCGGGATCCAATATCGCTGACGGATCATCCCCAGGGTCATCTGAACTCCCCCGTGCAACGTCCTCCTGTGGCAAGCGTCTACGGTCAGCCTGGTGAATCGTGACGCCTCGGGCAGGATCACGGGATGCCGTTCGTCGTAGGCCAGGACGGCGTGCTTGAGCCGCCCGCCAACGCGCAGCAGTCCTTGAGCATCTAGAACAGAATTAAGTCTGACAAGAAAATTAGATCTCGGCAGCGAGCGGCCCAGCCGGACCGCTTCCATTTCTCGGCCGAAGTGAATCGCTTGCGTCCGTCGGATCCAACTCAAGCGGGTCACTTCCAGCTCCTCGGCGGACAGGTCGTCCCCGTACCCGGAGGCAGCTGACTCCGCTCTTGCTTGACCGCCCTGCCTCCGGTGAAGCCATCGCCGGCACCATGCCTCAAAGGGTCCTCTTTTAGCCAGGCGGGGCCCTGCCACCAGAGCTGGTGGCCGATCAGCTCGCCCGGGGAAAGCCCCCGCGAAGCGCAGTCTGCCGGGTTGTCTCCTCCTGGCACATAATGCCACAGTGCCTCCGGCATCGTCGTCTGTATCTCAGAGACCCGGTTAGCCACGTAGGTCTTCCAGCGGGTCGGATGCCCACGGATCCATCCCAGCGTCACCATGGAATCCGACCAGAAGTGGAAGGTGGCCCCTTGTAATTCGAGGACGGTCTTGGCGTGAGAGGCGAGTTTGACGAGCAGCGCAGCGGCGTTGAGCTCGAGTCGAGCCAAGGTGACCTGCTTGAGAGGGGCAACCTTTGTTTTGGCTGCCATCAAGGTGACTCGCTATGATCCGTCCTTTGTTTCTGCTTGTAGGTAGATTACGGCAGCGTACGCTCTCTCGGAGGCGTCAGCAAAGCCGTGGAGCTCGAGGCCAATCCCCGGCGCGTCCGGAAAAATCCTCCGCGGAACTCGAATCTGCTCCAGTACCGGAAGCTCGGTCTGATACTCCCTCCATCGTCGGGCGTCGTCTTCCGCCAGCGAGTCGTCCCAGTCGAGACCCTGCAACCAAGTGGCCTGGAAGGCTATCTTGGCACGTACCACGACCGGCGCTAGCCAACCAAGGGGGTCAAAGAGCCGGGCAGTGAGCGACAACACTGACCGTTTAGTGACTGACGTCCCCGGGCTCGTCCGTGTCGCGAAGGAGAAACTGTCGACGCCGGGGTGCCACTGTAAGCCCAGGATGCCGTGCGATTCCTGAGGTTCTGCATACGATGTTCCGCCGGGACTCCCGTCAAAATCGCCTCATCGTTAGCCGACCACTTGCGCAGCGGAAAGCCGCCCGCCGCACAGAGTTCCGTTAGCTGCTGCCGAAGGGCCATAGCCTCTTCGAGGGTATCGGCGCCCGAAAGTACTTCGTCCATGTAGCGGGCACAGAGCAGCGCTAGGGCGGTGCTGAGCGGGAAGCGTTCCTTTTCGTCTTCGGCTAGCTGAAGCAAAGCACGAATAGCCTGGAAAGGAGAACAGGTTAGCCCGTAGGTAACGGTGTTGAGAATATACTCCCGTATCTTCTCGTCTGTGTGGTACCGCCACAAGATCCGCTGAAGATCACGATCTTCCTCGTGAACCAGAATCTGGCGGTACATTTTTTCCACGTCCGTGGCTAGGACGTAACGGTAACGACGCCAGCGCAGCAGCACGTCGGCGAGGGCCGGCAGCAGATTCGGTCCCGCCCGTAGGTACCGGTTTAGTGAGTCGCCCGAAGGAAGCGCCGCCGAGCCGTTAAACACCACGCGCAGCTTCGTCAAGGAGCTTGCTTCCCGCATGACGCTATGGTGTGGGAGATAACACACTCGGCTCTTCGCGATCTCGTCCGGCGCGACGGGGGTCATGTGGCCGAGTTTCTCGTACTGCCGCATGAAGTCGACGTACAGGCTCTTCAATTTCTCGTCGCGGGAAAGCCGCCTTTCCCTCTGAGTTAGCACCCGTAGCGCGTAGTTACGCGTTCCCCGGAGATCGGGCAGCGGATTTACGACGGGAGTCTCACGACGAATCGGCCCTCCGCGGTACGCAAATGGGTTCGTGCAAAAAAGTCCTCGGCCTTTTGCTCCTCCCTGGTTAGCGCGGGAGGGCCGACGGGCAGTTCCTCCTGCCGCCAGAACCCCTGCACCAGAGCGGAGAGCTCCGCGTCAACGTGGCACTGGTGCGCTACTGCGACCTCCGGATTCGCCACCGCTCCGGCGGCTCCAGAGATGATCCACCCTAACGCCGTCTTCTGGGCAACAGGCTCGTGTGCCCCGCCCTTGAGCAGTCCCGGCTGGAGGATCTCGGCGACGACATCGGCGCCCAGCAGGAGATCCATCGGATCCGAGCCTAGAAATTCGGGATCGGCGAGCTCCAGCCCGCGGAGATGCGTCCACGCCTCTTTATCCGCACGGATCCCTCCACCGTAGAGGGAGAGCCGAGGGGGTATTAAAGCCGACACGGCGATTGATGGCCCTCCTCCCCGGGGTGAGATTTCGAGGGTCACCAGGCCTCGCGCACGAGCCGTCCGCTTCCCGCCAACACCGAATACCGCGACCGAGGCGGGTGCGCGAGACAGTTTCAGGCGCTGCACTAACGATTCCGCGACGAGCAATGACTCGGAACCCTGGTTGATTAGAGCTCGCGCGGTACGCTCGATGCCGAACCGATCACGCACGCGGACACGGGCGGTGGCGAGGAGCACAGCCACTGCGGTCTCGGAAGGTCCTTGCGCGAGATGCGAAGTTGTGGCGACCTCGGTTCCTTGGTACGCGTCGTGCAGGCTCGAATGGTGTCGGCCGTCACACACGGAACAATTTCGTTTCGAATCACACTCGTTTAACTTGTGTTTTCCGAGGCAATTGAGACAGAGATTATTTGCCTCGACGTGCTGTTTTTGTTTCGCGGCGGTTTTCCCCTTATACGCGGCGCAAAACATAATAAAATGTCCCTTTTGGCATACGGAGCAGCGACCGAGTCGGTTTTCCTTTGCCTTCGCATGCAAGGCTCGCGTTTGCTGCGCGGAATTCCCCCCGGCCTTCGCGGAAATCGCCTTCTTCGGTTTCGCCGGCTGGAGCGATTCGAGAGTATGCAGGCGTCGGTCCAGAAACTGCTGCAAGACGGCGAACGACGGCGGATCCGGCGTTTCGCTGACAGCGTTCTCCCACTCGCGACGCGAACGGGGGTCGAGAAGATCTACGACGAGATGGACGAACAGGTCCTCACTACGCGAAATCGGCCGCCCGATGCTGTCGAGAGCGCCGACAGTGCTCACGACACGGTGATACACTTTGCGTAACTCGGATACTGACTCACCCTTCAGTTTTTGCAGCGACGTAAATTGAGCGAGGTATGAGCGCACCAGGAGTCGCTTGTTTTGGTAGTAGTCCGTCAAGGTCTTCCAAGCGCGCTCGAAGTTCTTGTCCGTCGTGGGCAGGCTGCGCACTAAGAGTTCCGCCTCCCCCTTTAAGCACGACTTCAGGTAGTGTAGCTTCTCAACTGGAGTCGTGGAGGCATCCTTCCCGATGATCGAATGAAATAGGTCACGGAAAGCGGGCCACTCTTCGTATTTGCCCGCGAACTCCGGCAGCTGAATGCGCGGCAAGGTCGTACGAGGCGGGTTCGTCCCGGCAGCAGCCGGAGCGGGAGCGCTGTCCGCTTTACTCTTGAGCTTACGGAGCGTCTCGAGGAACATGCCCTTTTGCTGTATGTAAGCCTCGTCCTTCTTCTCGTAGTCATGATCCACCAAGATCTCCCAGTAGGCGGCATATATTTTTTCGTGCTGCGCCTCGAATTTCGCCCAGTTGGACTCGAGGGCCTGCAAACGCGCCTCCACCAACCCGATGGTGATATTTGGTGATCCCACCTTCCTCAGGTTCTCGTACGAGCGAGCAATGCGCCCGTAGAGCTCATGTTGGCTGCGGATAAGTCCCTCCATCTCTCTATTTGTCTCCTTGGAGACAGCTCCTGCTATTTTCTTGGCGTTCTCCTTACTCATCGTCTCCCCTCAATGTTATTCGACGGAACGTGGGAGGTAGGTCACTTAAGCACTCACTCACAGCCCGAGCGCCGGTCACAGTATCCGGCTCGAAGGACCATAAATGTTCGAAAGCGGACCGCGCGCGCGAGCGAGGACACGAACCGCGGATAGGAAGAGACAGTCAAAGAGCAGAGTTAACGGACAATCACAGTTTATTCGTCTATTTACACTATTTACAAAAGCTGAATCGCAATTATAACGAAGGAAGAGATCGTGTCGCGAAAGCGCAAGCAAGCGCCGATGCAGGCAGAGCGAAAGTTAAGCGAGCGAAAGAGCGAGCAACTCTAAGTACTAAGCGCACGCGGAAGAAAAGGAGCAAGCAACTCGAATTATTGACAGCGGCAACTCGGAGATCAGAGAGCGACTGGCTCCGTTGTCAAGGGCGCGTGTCCCTTTAAGCTCTCAGGGGCTTCTCGCAAATTCGAGACCTTTCGATACACGCCTCACCGAGAGAAGTCTCCGCGATCGAAGAATATAAACAGAAAACAGAGGAAACAAAGCGAACAAAGAATGCCTTGTCTCCACTGTTTACTCATTTGGTCGTCACGTCGAAAGTCACGGCGATAATGCTCAAGTCTCGGTGCTCGCAATTGCCGTGCTGAAACGCTAATTTATATTTTCGACTTTGCTATCGTTAGAACCGTTTAAGCAATCTTAAACACGTATGGATTAAAAAATATCAACGTTTGCTAAAAAAAAGAACTAGCTGGATTCCGAAAAGCGCATTTTATATATACATATATGCTCATGCGCACATACATTTCACGGAACTCCACTACTCATTCAAACATTATACCATGCACCAATTCCCATAATTTGAAAGCCAATTTAGTTCCATGACAATCGAAGTTATACTCTTGGGCAAGAGAGTTACTCATGAGGTTTGACATAAGTTTAGATACTGCTCGAGCTTCATCATTTCCCAAAGGAAGAGATTTCAAATAGTAACACTGAAATAAAAGGAGAATTTTGATACAGAAACAGATACGTAAAGGTTATCCGCCGTTACATTTTATTAAGTAAAAAAATGTATAATCTAATAATAAATAATAAGACTTGCAACACTTCCACTAATAACGTTTGTCAACTTTGACTAAAAGAAATGACAGAAGAGTATTAAAGGAAATGTAGCAAAATCTTAAACATACGACAATAATTCTAGGATAGGTCACCTATATCAACTTAGGGTATGCTGTAATATACTGATTGTCAGTTTAATTGGATACAATTTTTTTAAGGAGCAGCGTTTAGAGTGCTTTACGAGAGTTAAATTAAAGAGTATACTTCCACTTTCATCACAATCGTGCAGATATAATACTTTTAATATTTCTTTTCCAAGTTTACAACTTTACGTAAAAATATTGAGTGGAGCTATCTCTCATGATTTTGACCTTAGCAAGATGTCTCAAAGTTTTTATAAAAACCAAAATCAAGGTTATTATAGGGATGACTTTATTAAACTAAATATTTACCATAAAAACATATAAAACATCATTTACTGTGTCTGCAAGCTGCACGTCAATTGACAGAAATTTTTCAAACCTTTTGACCTGTTCAATGGTTTCTAAAGAAAGTGCAGGAATGTTTGCAGGTTTACAGAGAATTTTTTCCTCTGGCAGTACAAATCTATTCAATTTACATTGATTTATAAGTACCAAGTCAAGTTTCGCACGCATATTGTCTACTTTTTGGTTTAATTTCGCCACGGATGCTTCCAGACCTGTACATAATAATTATAGATAATTACATAAAATAATCAACCACAAACATTGTGTTGCGGCCCCAATCAAAATGTAATAATAAAATAATTATATTATAGTATAAAATAATAATATTAAGAAAGACCGAGAATAACAATAGGGAACGCGACCGCGAAAGCCCGAGAGAATTACGCAACGCCGAATCAGCAAAAGATGAGTTGCGCGATCGGCCCAGATACGATCGAGCAACTCAGCGATATCGAAGGACAAGACGAGGATTGAAAAGGAAGCGACAACAGGAGAGACGAGGGCAATTGGAGTCTCGAAGCGACGGGCGTTTCACGCGAGTAATCATTGTAAGCAAAGTGGATTAATTAAAGTTGTCTTTTATTGCAAAGTGTTGTTAATAAATCCCGCCTCCTCCGTGGATAAACGATCCCTGGTGTCCCGCCGTAAAAAGAGGGCACAACAAAATGGTGGCAGCGTGAGGGATCCAGTGGCAGGAAGACGGGAACGGCAGCTGAAACAGAAAAATAAGTGAATCAGTGAGGCAGTGCAACATCCTCAACGGAGACACAGGCAGCCAGATTCAAAAACAGCAGACAACACGGTAGCGGCCGACGAGGGACAAGCGAGCAGCGTAACCCGAGAAGGCGCCGACCTACCTCAACGGAAGCTCACCGACAGATAAGGCGGCACGAGCACCGACCAGCAACATGCGACTAGCGACCGTAATGTAAGTCGATTAAGCAAATTATGTAAAGCGCAATCACCGTAGATGTCGGAAAACGAAAATCCACCTGCGGAACTAAACCAATCGTGGCTCCATAGCGAGACGTCACGACGAGCGCGTAGAAATAGACCGTTAAGCCCCGTGCAAACGACCGAAGAAGGCGTAAGCGACAATCGCGAAACCGTGCGTAGAAATTTAGACGCGTACTACTCAAGCGAAAGCGAATCAGAAACGGAATTACATCAGAACAGCGTAATCGAACGCGAACAAACCGACGATTCCGTTATAATTTTAGACGCGAGAGTAATAGGGCAAAATAACTGCCCCGACGAAAATAGACTCCACCCCTCACACGCGCACGTACAATCCGAAGACGCGAACAGTACGACCAGTAGGCGTACACACAGACGAGAGTTTTCATTGACCTCGTATGATAGTAGCGTATTTGACCCGCAAGAATATTATTCTGCCCCGAGACACGCGAACGTAATCGAGATGGCGGAAGCAACAAATAGCAACCACGACGCGAATAACGTAAATGACAACGCGCCGATAACCCCAGAGGAAATAGACGAAGAAATAAACCGTCTTAATCGAGTGCTATCACAAAGAGGCACCCCGGCGAATCACCGTAACCGGATACCCGCACGGGCCGAACCGCCGCGAGACGATAGAGATTCCATTCTCGACGAGATATTAAACGGAATCCGCAACTTACAAGATCGCGTAAATCAACTAGAAACGGCGAATCCTGAACGCCGCGAATTTCACGCGAGACGCGAGCCAAGTAACCTCCCGTTCGAAGTAACGTACGGAAGAACGTCATATGATATTCGGAACCAAGCGGAGCGCGCAATCGGATATCTACGTTTAAAAGAGGCACGAGACATGATACCTGAGTTCGACGGAACCTCGAGTAAATTACAAGAATTCTTAAGCGCCGCGTCATATGCAATGAAAAACATAAATCCTATGGAAGAAGGAACGCTATTAGAAGCAGTGCTATGCACAAAGCTAAAAGGAAGAGCAATGATAGATTTTCAAACGCGAGAGATAAGAGATTTCGCACAACTAAAGAAAGAATTAGAAGTTTGCTATTTGAGCCGCAAAAGCACAACACACTTACAACTAGAGTTTAATACACTCAAGCAAAAACCCGGAGAAAATGCAAGAGCATTCGGATTAAGAGCCGATAAGCTAGCGATGGAGCTATACAACTCCATGATAGAGGGAAGAAATCACACCATAGAAAGCAAGCGAACTATATTAGAAACGATTCAACAACAGGCATTACAGAATTTTCAATTAGGATTGAGAGACGAGATCAAGTTACTTGTCCGAGCTCAGCATTTCGCAACATTGCAAGAAGCGATTGCCGGAGCGAGCGCCGAGGAAAAAGTAAACGGGCCGAGTGGAATTCCGCCGCGTCCCAAAAATAATTATGCGTACTCGCCGCAACCGCGCGATAACCGATCGATAGTACAATGCCAAAAATGTGGAAAATACGGACACCTCGGAAGGGAATGTCGTACCAATAGATATGCGAACCGTTTCTCCTTACCGAAACCCGATAGGACACCCCGCGTAAACGCGATAGATAAAGTCTGCAATTACTGCAAGAAGGCAGGACACATGCGCGAAGAATGTTGGTTGTTAAATGGTCGACCAAATAAAGAAAGGACGAACCACAACAAACCTAATAATCCGCGAGGACAAAATAAAAATTTTCACCCGAAAACGAATGGCCCGAGAAAAAAAGGACAGTAATTCAGCCGCGAATAGCGATGAGGAAGATAAAGAGGACACAAAGCAGCGCCGACCGGCGTTAGAGTATCAGATGTCACACCTGACGAACAAGCCGCGAAAGCATGCAGGGCTGGACTTAATCACTCTGCCCATGCGAGAAGCGAAGCGCGAAAAAATAAATTTACTGTTCGATACCGGAGCGGCCGTATCAATAATAAAAGTAAAACATTTGAAAGGCGAAACAATGATAGAAGAGGATAAAATGGCCCTTACAGGAGTAACAGGTCATAAAGCCCATACGATTGGAAAATTTACAGCAACTATTGACTTGAAAGATAGAAAGATCAAGCACACGATATATGTCGTCAAGGATGATTTTCCGATTGAATACGACGGAATACTAGGCGTAGATTTTATAAAGAAACATCGAGCGTCATATAGTTACGAGTCGAGCGCAATACGCATAGGGAATAGCACATTAAAATTATACCCGTATAAGAAAATGGTTTTGAAACCGCGAAGCGAGACAATAGTACAAGTAGCGACCGATAAAAATTCACTAGGAATAATACAGGCAGAAGAGACAATGCCAGGAGTGTTCATAAGAAACTGCCTAGTGATGCCAGAAAACTTTCTATGTCCGGCAAGCATACTAAATACGACGGAGAAGACAGTCGAAATGCTAATGCCGCAAGTAACATTAGAAGAGTTAGAGCAAGAAGAAGCAAAAGAGATAGAAATAAACCAAGTAGACAAGGCAGAAGAAACAATGCCGCGTA